GCAAAGGAAATAAATTAAAGAAAAAAAAAATTCATGATATAGGGATGTGAGAATATGCACATTTTTTTTGATTTGGTCAAAAGTAGATTATGCCAAAATAGGCTGCATTGTTATTTGTGAACCGAATGAAATGAAATTTTGAATTTTTTTAGCAAAAGAGTCAATTTACATTTTAATATATTTCATGTTTATTTTTAGAAATAAAAGATAGTGTAATTTTACGTTAATTCTTGGTATCTTTCGATGAACCACTGCTCCTAAAATTCTTGGTATTTTTGAACCACTCCATTTCTTTATATTATTTATTAAACTACTCATACAGAAAATTTAAAGTCTGATGTGCTTATTCTGAATAAAGATTGCTCTAAGCACACAAGGTATTTTTGTGAATATACAAATTTTTGAAGCGTTGTTACCCTAGTAAATTTTCGTGGGTCACAAGGTAGCTTTATTAAAATCTGGTTGGTGCAAAACACTTATTTTATATTTCGCTTAAAAACTTAGTAACTTTGTCACAGTTTAAAATTTAAAACAAACAATTTACTAATTAAACTAATTCGTTGGCATTACTGAACAACCTAAAGATTTTAATTTCAGTTCATTGTTTATTATTATACTTTTCATATAGTTTTTTTTTTTTTTATAAGTTGTTATAGAAAAAAATATAGGTAAAATATATCATTATTTATTTTACATATAAAACTGTATTTATTTTTAGACTTTGAACTCTATATTTAGTTTTACATTTATAACTCTATTTTTGTTTAATATACTGGAAGCTTTATTTTGATATATAATTTGTCAATAATATGAAAAATATTCCCCTCTGAATTTCACTACTCAACACTGGACATCTGTCCGAATATGGTAATTTATCTAGCACTCTCTAGCACTTAGCTAAAATATATCTTTTCTTCTTTCAGAACTACAACGGCCTTATGTGTTCCAAATAAGTGGTGGAACTTTAATAGCTTCCACTGCGAAACAATAGCCATTAAATGTATTGCGTTTTGTTTTAATTTGAGCAGTGTCGCTGCTCTTGGGATCATGTGCCGTTATGAGGGGGTCAGCAATAGGTTTAACGTCTTGAGAATGTTCCGATAGGTTTAACGTCTTGAGGATGTACTGGTTAATCTTAGCGATGTACCATGAATCCAACAGCAAATATCTTCAACTTATCTTTAAAAGAGGGAGTTTTTCCGGAAAAATTAAAAATTGCTAGGGTGGTTCCAATTTTCAAATCAGGCAATCCTAATGACGCTAATTATAGGCCAATCTCTGTTCTTACTTGTATTTTAAAAGTTCTAGAACGAATTATGTACAATAGACTCTATTCTTTTTTAATCCAAAATAATATTTTGTACAACAAACAATTTGATTTTAAATCTGGTCATTCTACTGATCGCGCAATCTTACATCTTGTCCATGATATATTTAAAGGGTTTAATGAAAAAAAATTTACTTTAGGTGTTTTCATAGATCTAAGTAAAGCCTTTGATACAGTAGATCATTTAATTCTTTTATCCAAACTCAAGTTCTATGGCATCAAAAATTCAAAATTGGCTTGGTTTAATAGTTACTTGTCTATTAGGAAGCAATATATTTCTTACAATGGTGGTAAAACAGATAATATGATCAACACATGCGGTGTTGATCATATTATCTGGGCCCTAGAATTGATCCTCAGGGATCAATTCTAGGGCCCCTTTTTGTTTCTAAATTATGTCAATGACTTGTATAAATTTTCTAATATTTTAAACACAATTTTATTCGCCGATGATACTAATTTATTTTATTCTCATGAAGACATTAATATTTTATTTTTAACAGTTAACAAAGATAAACTAACCCAATGGTTTAAATCCAATAAATTATCCTTAAACATTGCTAAAACCAAATACACATTATGCCATCGTGTTCAAAAAAAAAAAAAATATTCCATTGAATTTTCCAAATCTTTTTATTGATAAAAATATAATAAAATATGAAATGTCTCTAAAATTTTTAGGCGTAATTCTCGATGAAAATATTACGTGGAGAGAACATATAAGTGTAATTGAGAATAAAATTTTTTAAAATATTAGAATATTGTATTAAGCTAAACAGTTCTTAAACCAATTTTGTCTTAAATACATATACTATTCATTTATACACTGTTATCCAAACTATGCTAACATTGCTTGGTGCAGCACCAATGTTACAAAACTAAGTAAACTTCTCTGCCATTAACATGCCATTAGGATTATTACAAATGAAAATCGCTTCTCTCATACAAAAATACTTTTTAGCAAACTTAATATTCTAAATATTTTTAAATTAAATCTTTATCATATTCTTATATTTATGTTTAAACTTGATAAAAAAATGGCATTACTTTTATTCAACTCTTTATTTAAAAAAATAAATCATATATACAGCACAAGATTTTCAAATAATAACTATACTTAATTGAAAACCGAGGTCCTAAATTATGGAATACGCTTTTAAATAATGATCTTAAAACACTTTCTTCACTTAATCAATTTAAAACTAAACTTAAGCAAAATCTTTTACTAAACGACAATAAGCTAAATTTCTTCTAAAGTGTTTAAATGAGAGTACTATTATTAATAATTTTCAGCACAACAATTATGTTTAACAATTTAATTTTAATAATTGTTTATTACTAAGATTATTTATTCAGATCCATAAATATGATGAATAATATTACTGGCTTTTTTTTTTGTTTATTTTTTTTGTTTTGTCTTTTTTGTTTGACTCACATCCCTACATGATAGAAGAAAACCTCTCCATGGCAGCAAAACCACAACCTATTTCTCGAAATTCAACAATAGCACGAGCATTCACATCAAATCCTTGACGGCATTGGGTAGCAGCTTTACTTGATTCAACTGTTTTTGATGAAGTATAAACAGTCTCCATCCCACCACAAATGGAACAGGATATCATGATACAATGTGAAAAACCTTTTCTTTTTACTTTGATATCAGTAACATTAACACCTCCTAAACAATCAGGACAAGCAAGCTCTTTACATATATTTGCTAAGACATTGAAATGAGTAATAATAAAAAAAATTATTTTCATCAATCTCACATTGCACAAAAAACTTTCTTGCAGAGCTAAATTGATTTTTCAGAGTGTCGTATACATCATAAACACCATCAACATCAGGGTATCGGTTTGCAACTATGCTATTCCACATTCTTTTTTTTTTACGAGAAAAATTTCGTTTATTACATTTTTCTTTATACTTTATATTTTTAGTGCCACTCATTGTAAGTATATACTATATATTTGATCTAAAAAAAATAGAAAACAGTATTATGCATGATAAACCATTTTTAAAATATTGTTTGCATTTTTCATATGTAAAGCTACTAAGAACGTGGTTTATACTTTCCAAGTATAGCTTTTAAATAAAAAAAAATAAAGCAAAGTTGACAAAAACAATGAGAAACAATAACTCTTTGGGGTTTGAGAATAAATGGGCTAACAAAATAGTTTACGGTAACTAAGGACGTTGCCATGAAACATTAGAATAACATATATGTGATTACTGGTTAAAAAAAAACACAAATATATTACTATAGCACTATATATACACAAGTATATATGCTATATATACACAAGTATATATACTAAAAAAGTATATATGCTATGTATACACAAGTATATATGCTAAAAAAAGTAATTCAAAAAAAAAATTCAATATTTTGCAAAATTTTACAACTTTTTATAGCCCTACCACCTTAAACATCATTGCGATATTTTTTGAGAGTATTCTTTCAATACTATTTATATGTGAATACCACAGTAAATTTTCATCCAGTTTTACTCCTAAAAAGTTTACGTATGTTTCCCTTTTAATATAAGTATTATTAATTATAAGATTTGGTAATTTTAGAGGAATATTTTCTGATTTATTTACTTTATGGAAAGTATATATTTTGTTTTATCCACATTTAATGAAAGTTTGTTACTTACAAACCATTCATTAACTTTACATAACTGTTCATTAACTATTTAAAGTGTTTTAATATCTCTGTGATATTAAAAAAGATTGGAATAATCAGCAAACAAAATTAGGTCTAAAAGATTTGTTGCTAAGTATTAAGCCCTGAGGAACTCCGCAAGTTATGGAATATGGAATGGTGTTATTGTGATCATAATATAAAAATTGCTTTCGGTTTGTCAGATACGCTTTGAACCAAAGTAGGTTTTTATTTTTCACTCCGCAGTTTTCAAGTTTTTTTATTAGTATATTGTGATTTACGGTATCAAAAGCTTTTGACAGATCAATGAAAACTCCTAATGTAAAACAGTTGTTATCAAAAGCGTAAGATATTTGATTAAAAAGTTCAACTATCGCATGTTCAGTTGAGTTTTTTTTTTTTTAACCAAATTGCTTGCAATCAGTGCCGGACCGTACTATAAGGCAAATAAGGCAACCGCCTAGCGCGCCCAACGTTTAAGGGGCCCCAAAAAAGTTAAAAATGAAGAAATTAAAATTAAAAGTTCACTATCGTGTTTAAAAGAAATTGTAGTGAAATATACACCACTTACATCAATATTGTCATGATTTCCTGTATAAATACTAATAATAAAAATTAATTAAAAATTGAATATATATATATATATATATATATATATATATATATATATATATATATATATATATATATATATATATATATATATATATATATATATATATATATATATATATATATATATATGTGGGGGAGGGGGGCGGGCTTCACATCCACGTCTGCCTAGGGCCCCCAAATTGGTCTGTCTGGCACTGTTTGCAATACAAAATAAAAAATAAATTACTTGCATGAAATTCCAATTTTTTCTGCAGAGGGTTTTTTGCAAAATATTGAAAAATAATTTAGGATTATTTAAGAATTAAATAAGTATAGTTTTCAAAAATTGATTTTTATTGTGCTACCTACCTATGCAACCCCTTAAGTAAAATGATTTTTTATTTTTTTCGTTACCGGCAATTGCTATCGATTTCGTTAATTTGTTGTTTGCCGTTACTTTAGCTAAACTTCCTTTTCAACAGGTCTACTGAAGACGAAGTGACTAAAATGGTGAGATAGTAAACAATGGGTCTTATCTCTTTTTATCCTTACCATCTATATATATTTCCAGTTCAGGTTATGATCATGAGAAAGAAAGATTTAATATGTTTAAAGTTCTATTTAAGCGCTACCTGATTATTAATCCTAAAGTTAAGTTTATGTTGCATTTAGTCGCTCATTGTACCAGAGAAGTTTCAACATATTCTTCGTGTTATGAACACGAATATTGATGGAAAAACTAAGATCATGTATGCCATGACATCCATCAAAGGTGTTGGTAGACGTTTTTCAAACATCTGCTTAAAGAAAGCTGATATAGACCTTAAAAAACGTGCTGGCGAATTAACAGATGAAGAAGTTGAACGTGTAATAACTATTATGCAAAATCCACGACAATACAAAATTCCAGATTATTTCTTGAACAGACAAAAAGACATTAAAGATGGCAAATATACTCAGGTACGGTTTAAACTATATATATACATATATATATATATATATATATATATATATATATATATATATATATATATATATATATATATATATATATATATATATATATATATATATATATATATATATAAATTGTATATGTGAATTATACTAAAAGAGTGCTCAACATTCTTAAAGAATAGAGTAATAATAAATTAGTAAAAACATCTTTTTAAATTATTTTTTTTAACGTATTTTTCTCTATTATTAAGTTCATATAAAAGCTTCCTAATAAACCTACTGATAGAGAAAAACGTTGGTTAAGATAAAATTAAATAAGTATATATATAAGGGTGAGAGTTGACATTAACACATAAGGCACTAAGATTATAATTAACGCCATACTATTTCCAAATCATGAGTAGATAAATGTACACTCCCTACATGTTTTGTCTGTGTAAATCGGTCAATTTATCTACATTTTTGTTCTACACTATCTTTCATATTTATTTTAGTTGATGTGTGTACAAAAAAATGATACTGCATTTTTTTTTTCTAATAGCTAATTTGACATGTAAAATAGATGCATCCTTTTTTTTATATTTTATGCAAATTTTTAAATTGTAATTTTCTTTGAAATAAAATTTCAATTACTTTTATTTTTTTTAATGACTAATTTTTTTTTAATTTTTAATGGCAATAATTTTTAATTATTTAAAATAATTTAAAATTATTGTCATTAGAAATTTCTACTTTAAGTTTTTTTATTTCAATAAAAATTATGGCAACAAGTAGTATTAACTAGTTTATTTTTTAACACTACAACATCAAATTAGGTATATTTTTTTTGGTTAAACATTAATCATTGATAAAGGTTAAGGGGTAGACAAATAAATTAGTGTCAGACATCCACAGGTCTGTAAATATCATAAATACCTTATGCATTAATATCTTAAATTATAAACTTTTTAAGCTAAATCTGTTTGTCTTAGAACATCTTCAAATGATAGAATGTTCAATTAGTTATCTAGTTTGACTCAGTTTATACTCTAGTTCAAGTAGATAATGCCAAATTGTTTATCTTGTGTATATTAGACTGGTTGCAACTTCAGCTTGAAGTTTTTTAGGGGCAAGTTTTGATTTTTTGGTTAATCTATTTCAAAATGTATAATAATAGCTTTAAATAACAAGCACATAGCGCATAAGCAATTTCACCCTTTTAATTTTTATTATATGCTTAAATAATATTGGATTGATTGATAAATATGCCTTTAGTTGTGTTGTTTAACAGTTAAGGAGTTGTATATATATACAACTAACATACACAATAACTACAAATAGTTTACAATAGGTTACAGTAAACTACAATAGTTTACAAAGTAATATGCAGCTATCCAAGTTAAAGGCCTTCTTAATTAAAAGTCTGATTCTTTGAGGTTATTGCTCTAACTTGATGTTTCTTTAATTGTTTTTTATAGGTTAAAATTTTAATTATAAATTTTCTTTTAGAATTTGGTTTACAAAAATTAAATTGTAGTTGTACTGCAGTTAAGCAGCCAAACAACATTATTATAAGGAAAACATTACAAAGAAAGATATATAAAAAGTGACTGGGTAATTTTATTGGTTATTTGTTTTAGGTTTTAGCAAATGCTCTAGATAATAAACTTCGTGAAGATTTAGAACGTTTAAAGAAAATCAAAGCTCATCGTGGGTTAAGACATTACTGGGGGTGAGTTAATATGTTACTTTTATATTGTTACTATGTTTTTAGTTATTGTTATGCTTACTTCAAATATATTTATTTTTCTTTCAACCTAAAGTATGTTTCATTAAAATTAAAAATTTTCAATGAAAGTTTTGAAAGTTTATTAAAAATTATTGTTAAACATTATTCCATTAGTACAATTTAATCTAATTTTAAGGATGCAGGTATATCATGTTTTTCCCTGAAAAAAAATTTTAAGTTTAACCATAACATAGGTTTTAATATAATATAAAGTTCCTTGATCATAGAGCCTAAAGTTTTTTGTTTTTCGTTATGTAACTTTCTAAGTGGTTATAATTCTGTATATTATGGCTCAGTGTGTTTTCTTACTTTAATAAATATGTAATGTGTTTGTTACATATTTATTAAAGCCTATATCAAAGTTTTCTTGGTTTTTTACTTGTGTTAGTTATTATTGTTTAATTAAGGTTTTAATTTTTTAGGCTTCAAATACTTTGCAGAGAAGTTATTTTAACTATAATTTAGTTAGTTTGTTAAAAAAATTCAACAACTAGTGTGTGTAAAACACATTTAAATGATTATTTATTTAAAAAAAATAGGAATTGCCGTCTGAACGATATTTGAAGATGGTTTTATAATGATAAATGTGTTTAAATTGTGTATACATAATTTTTTTAGAAGTTGTGTGTATACATTGATTTTTGTCATAAAATTTTTTATTTTCGAATTTTATAAAACATTGATATATGATAATTACAAAAGCATCATTTAAATGATTAATTATAAGATAGGAATTGCCGTCTGATCTTCAAATGAAGATAAAACTTTTTAATGATAAATGTGCTTTTTTTTTTCTTTTATATTACCAGTATTTAATAAACAAAATTAGAGACAATGAATATGTTTAACTTCCTTACAATGTAATATTCTTTTATGGTTTTTTTTTTTTTTTATGGAAATTAAATTTTTTTTTATGGAAATTAAATCAATTTATTGTTGGTTTTTTTAAATAAATTTATGAAGTAAAATATATATTTTTTATATCAGTAATTGTTTTGTGTGTTTTAAAAAAGTAAACTTAAAAATTGCAGCAAATGTTGCAAGTTTTGTATTACAATTTGGAGTTAAATTTGAGTTTTTAAACCATATAAATTATTATATTTATTTTTTTAATATTCATAAAATCACTTAAGAAATCAACCCTAAAAATTAATTTCTTAAAAACGGAAATACTCTTAAATTTATTTGAACATTTTTGTTAAGTTACATGTATTTGTTTGTGTGTGTGTAATATTTTTGAATTTTAAACAGATTTTTATTTCTATACATTATTGTGTAAACAAAAGTTTTTTTTAATGCATTATAAAAAGAAATGATGAAAAAATCTTGCATGAGGTTAACAAATCAATGACCTAGTTGCAATAGATAGTATCTGAAGTGTTAAAATAATGATAAATTTTTTTATAAAATTAAAAATAGCAATTTTTTTTAAAAGATTGCTATTGTACTTAACTATTATCCTTAAATACTCATATAATTATTTTATGTTTCTTTTTAGTTTACGTGTTCGTGGTCAACATACGAAGACAACCGGACGCAAAGGAAGAACTGTTGGTGTTTCTAAAAAGAAAGGCCAGCAATAAATCTCACTTAAAATTATTAGGGTTTTTTTCTTTAAAAAAATGTTATTTGTCGAATTCCGAAAAAACGTTAAGCTGAAATTTTACCCTTACCCATTGAATTTAAAAACTTAATATTTATAGGCCTTTGGTCTTTATGGAAATTTAAGGAAATTTTTAATTTGTTAAAATATATATTTTCCTTATCTCTATTAAAAATAGTAAGCGTAAATATACTCAGTGATTAACGCATGAGTTAATCTCAAAAACAAACGTAAAGAAATACAATTTACGTAATAACATTTATAAAATTAGTTAAAGTTAACAAATTAATTATAAAGTTAAGAAGTTTTCCGGCTTCCTTATGAAAAAGATTATGCTCGTTGGGTAAATATACCACGAGACAATTTACCTGACAGTTCAAATACAGTTGTTTGCGAAAAGCACTTTCTATCTTGATATATTTAATTTTAATTCACCTCCTCAAGGCCGAGAAGGCTACTTATTTGTGGCTATATAACCTTCTCTCAATTCTGAAAACTCCGAAACGCGAACCTTGTCGAACAAGGCCGCTGCGCGGAGTAACGGGTTAAGCGCGGTACTACCAGGGACGTAGTGGGGATCAAACTCGGAACCACTCGTATGAAGCGAGCGCTCTACCACTACACCACTATCTCATATGCTTCATTTACTAATTTTGGCCATGAAAGACCTGATCCTCCATCAGTTTTTACAAGTATGAAACCTAGTTTATTACCTACTTATCCAGCTCCATTAAGAATAACTTAAAACATCTGTCCGTAATATTCTTTCCTATTAAACACCCAGTAATAAAATTACAGGTAAATTAATTTATATTAAAACAGTTACAAATTAAATTCTCGGCTCTCCAAATATTTGTCTTTAATGCCAATAACTAGACCAACTAAACGATTAAATCTATTTTAAAAATATTCTCCTCCATCATTGTTTTAAATTTTTCTCGTTGTTCTTTTAAGGTGGTAGACCACTATTAAAATAAAATCCTTCAAAAATTATATTTTACAAATTATTTTTTTATAAGTTAATTAAAATTCACATTTTAATCACAAATCTTTTTTTTTTTTTTTTTTTAATTAACCGGTTTGAGAAATTTGGTCCCGGAAACCCCAAAATAGGGTCATTTCGTTGCGGTAAATATCTCAAAAACTATTCATGGTATCAACTTGAAATTTTTCAGACATGCTTATAATATATTAAAGAAGATCCTGTACCAAAACAAAAAAAAAACATCGACCAGTTTTTTTTAAATAAGAAAAACACTTTAAAAACAAAAAAAGAGGCATTTTTGACCATATTAGGACTTAAATATCTTTTTATCTAATTATCATAATGCAATAAAAGAGGTAGGGGACATCTGTAATAACAATAGGAACAACTCCTGAAAATTTCATAGAAATTTGTTGAGAGAATAAAGAGATATTTACCGCAGAGTCGTGAATTTTAAAGAACTGAGAAAAACACATTTAAACAAAAAAACCCATAAAATTCTTCAAATAAAAATAAAAAATACAGAAAAAAAAGCCTACAAACAAATATTATCTTATTATAAAAGTGTTGTGGAGTAAAACTAAAGCAAAATTAAAATAAAATTTTTTGAAAAAAGTGATAGTATTATAAAACAATACTATTATCCAAGTAATACTTCAATTTGAAAAAAAAAAATTCTTTTTATTTGCAATTTAGTTTCAATTTTTACTCTTACTAACTTAATGTAAATATCTGTTTGTAATAAATAAACAAAAAGTAAATATATTTTAAAATTCTCCTGCACCATAACATAAACTCTCTTCTTCCTCATCTTTGTCCAAAAATCCTTTACGAATACTCCATAACTGCTTTCGCCTGTTTTTTGTTTTTTTGTTACATTTTTTTTTTATATTTTTAACTCCTTTCAAATCAGAAGATGCAAAAAAACTTGAAGAATAGTGTCCTGGTTTTAAATAAAGTTTTTCAAAAACTCTAATAATACCATTAATCCAGCCGATCCTTTGTGATCATCGAGCAAACATGATTGTCTTTAAACGCCATATATTTTGGTGAATCTTGGTGTGCATTCCATTACTCACAAGATTTGCACTTCTTAGAAAGTATGCGATAATCTATACATTTTCCATTTGTTTTGCTTTTTATAGTAATAAATCCATTTAGTGATGAGTATCCTCTCTTTTGCCAAGCTCCGTCCCCTGAAATGTCCTTATCAACTACTGTACAATCATTATAACTTTTTTTCAAACTAATTATTCTTACTTCTTTAGCATTCATGCTAGCTTCGGCAATGTAATTGTAAGAGTTGGCAACTTCTTCACTTAATGAGTTAAAAGAAGATTTGTTCATAGGATCAGGCATATTCATTAAACCGCAGAATTTTTTTATACTAGAGTATCCTTTACCTATTTCTCGAAAAGCTAAAAAGTTTTTGGACCGGTTGTTACTAGTTTGCTTATAGTTTTACTTGAATAAAATTTTTGTTTCCATTGGCAAGATCCACATGAAATAAATATACAGTGTGATAAACCTTTTTTAAGTTTAGCATCATGGTTAAAAGTAACATTTGCAGAACATTTTGGACAGCAGCCAATGGTAGTTATTATTTTTTCTAAAATGTTAGTGTTTATAAAAATATAGCAGTCATTGTACTGATCACCATCAGCAGAAAAATTATTTTTATTTACAAAACTATTATTTACAATATCTATAGAAGATTTACTACTAGAACTCGATGACATTATGTTCATTTTTTTTTTGCTGAGCTACATTTGAATTGTAATCCTTGTAAATTAGTTAGATTTTCTTCAGCTACAATATTCGATGTTTTATGTTGGTTTCCTCTGAAAAATCTATGTTTTTTGCTATACCTTATTTTATTTGTTTTATCTTTATTTCCTATTATTTTAATAATTATTTAACCAAGGTATGATCCAAGGTAAGAGCACATAGAATAAGCCAAAGATTGATGTGGTTGTTGTTAAGTAATTAGACATATAGTGAAGAAATCCGTTAATAACCATGTAACATACAGCACCAAAAACATTTATTATTAAACAAAAAGTAGTTTTAGAGTAGCAGTTGCTACACATGTAGTTTTTTTATGAATTTTGATGGTATTTTGAAAGATAACTTGCTTTTTAGCTACATAGCAACGGAATAAACAATCCGTTGCTATGGAAAAATTTTAAAAATATCCTAAACCGTATTATTAAAAATTGGTTTTTAATAGGGTTAGCTTTAATTTTATATAAAACTAATTCAAAATTCCTAATCTACAATAATTATATTACTTAAAAACTTCAAAACTGAAAAAACGATTTTTTTGATTTTTAATAGTGGTCTACCACCTTAAGTTCCGTATTTGGAACGCTTCTTTTAATATTGATATAGTATCAGCTTGCAGTTTTTTTTGAGGTAGTGTGAATTTAATTTTTTTACCCTCTATCATGTATTGAAAGATGTTCAAGCCACGAGTTTTACATATAGCAATCACATCGTTTATAAATGATTTTTTTTTTGTGTTGCCAGTAATAGACTAATTATCAGCGAATAGCAAGTTTGAGTTTTCATTAGCCTGATTAATAAGTTTACTTTATTTCAATGAAGAGTAGTTGAAGTATTTTCTATTTTAAAAAAAGAATATATGTAATATTTGCTATACTTTGAAATACAAAAAAAAATGATTTTAAAACTGCTCCTCCAACAGCGTCTATGTTTCTTAGAAAACTAATGTCATAGTTGCATAGCTCAAGGCCATATATAAGCTTTGGCATTGTCAAAGTATTGTATAAATGGACTATTGTTGACTGACAAAAACGAATTCCACTGTCAATTAGAGCTATTGCAACCGATTGAAACTGCGTTAAACGTTCATTTAGATTTGTTTTTTGAAGTGTTGCAATTTTGTTTTTGTTGGTATCGTTATCCCATTGGAAACCCAGATGTCCGATGAACTTAATACATTTTTAACTGTGTCCGATTAACTTAATTTATTTTAACTTATGTCCGATGAACATAATACATTTTTAACTGCTGATAATATTACATCCTTTAGCTCATTACATCAGAAGTTACAAAATAAAGAAATTGATTTTGGTCCAGTTAATGAAACTTGGTATTTAGCTGGTGAACAGTTGCTAATCATTCGGTCAACAGGTTTTAAAGAAAACTTTTCAATTGTCAAATTTATGCCTTAAATCAAGAGTAATCTTACTTTTGTGGGACATAAAAAATAAAACTTCTATCTAAAAACAGGATTTTCATAATCGATTCTTGCTCAAAATTACGAGAAGCTAATTATTTTTTGAATAACTTAACAAAATCCAATAAAATAATAAATCTTTGCAACACATCCGTGATATGAGTGAATACAGTTATGGAAAAAAAAAATCTTGCTATTTCAAGATCATTATATGAAAGATTAAGGTAAGATTATGAACTTCCAAGTATTTCTCTCCTAACAAAGCTAATTTCAAAACTGGATTCTGCAATGGATGATAATGAGATTTTAAATTTTTTTTTCTAAACCTGAAAACGAATTGCTATTGATTGACGAAGTATACATCAAATCATCTCTTACTTCCCATGCTGGCTAACCTTTGGAAAAGCAGTAAATAAACCAGACTCTTTAGCAACTACTGTTTTAAGTTTTAGTTTAGTTTCACTTTATGGAGGACCACAATATGTTTGCAGAATTTTACCTGTTTGTGAGCTTATTTCTAAGATTCTGTTTGAACAAACTCAATTTATTTAGGAGGGAATAAAGAGCACTAGAGGGATACCGGTTGTCATAATATGTGATGATAATCGTGTAAATCAAGCACTATTTAACATGTTGGAATGTGTTGATCCATGGTTGACCAAAGGCAATATGTTTTTGTTATATGACTTTGTGCATCTACTTAAATCTGCTTGTAATAACTGGATATCAGAAAAAAGCCAAAAGTTTCGTTATGAATATAATGGGGGAACTAAATATGCATGTTGGTCTAATATCTTAAGTTTGTTCAG